GGCTTCCGTTCGTGCATGGCCTATAACTTTTGGTGACTCTATTAAATTTCTCGTTTACAAATTCTAAAGGTACTCTGATATTGCCTGTATGCGGACTTCTTGCTTTTGCCGAACTTCAATATACTGCCCTCTCGGAAACACGGAACGCTCTGTGGAAGCTATTGATATTTCCTTCCAAGTATCCAATAAAATCCTCTATCAATAAGAGCTCTTTTCGTTACCAGCACGCGGATTGGGACACATTCCGTGATTTTTTTTCTTGACGCACCTTGGACCGACATCTTCAAACACCAAATTGAAAATTGCGCCACTGACGTTACTTCTTTGGAAATATCAAGTGAAACCCCAATCCTCTTCATGGTTCACATCAGCATGCTCGACCGTCATAGCAGAAAGGAATCACTATTTCCGGCTATACCAGCGTGACATCTCTCATAATAGCAGGGACCTATTTGCTGCTGCTCGTAACAAATGTAAGCGAGTCCTCTAAGAAGGTAAGAGAGAATGAGGCAACACATAGCATTTAAAAACTTTGGCTTTCGTGACTACTGGCGTCTCTCTAATAGGGTAATAAATAAGTGCAAGGTCACTCATCAATCGGTTTGAGGTGTTATCATTATCTGCTGATAAAGCTGAATTCTTTGCCCGTAAATTCTCCTCAAACTCTACTATTGACTCATCAGGAGTATGCCTGCTTAACATTTCACTTAGAACAGGTGCTCTGTTGAGTGATATGCATATAATCCCTTCTATAGTGTCTATTATCATCTCTAATCTTGATCCCAATAAAGCATGTGAATGCCTCCCTGTCATAGTCTCTCTAAACTGTGTTGCTGCGTTCCTGCTTGCTCTAAGTCATCTTCAGTTGTTCCAGTTTTTAAGAATTCTGGTGGACTGTCTGAGACATCCAAGTATCGACGTATTAGTCTTCTCCCTCTTTTTGGGAAACTCTTAGAGACCCTAATCAATGCTGAATTGATTCATCATTTCTTATCACAGGGGATCTTCTCATAGAGGCAATAAGGCTCTCATTTCTTCAGATCAACACCTTATGTACTGACCATAATTGTCAGGTTATTAGGCTCAAGAAAAAAAACGGTTATGAGCGGGCTTAGCAATGGATATCTCGAAAGCCTTTTACAGGGTTTGGCATTCAGTTCTTCTCCACAAAGATAGAAAGTTACGGTCTTTCCGGGAACATTCTTGAGCTGATTCAGTCGTTCCTATCATATCGTGAGATGAAATTTTTTCCTGAATGGCGACGATTATAATTTTTGAATAAATATAATTTGCTCTAATCTGTATTGAGCACTTTTTTAAGAATAGTGATTTTGATTATCGATTATATATATATCTATATATATATATATATATATATATATATATATATATATATATATATATATATATATATATATATATATATATGCATGCACCGTAAATGGATAGCGGCTTGGATCGAGAGAGAGCCGAGTTCGAATTCCAGTCGAATCCATTACATTCACTTACATGCTAATACCCTTGGGAAAGGTGTGACTCCTCTTCTTCTCCCTCCAGCTATGGGTAAATAGCCTTGGATGGCAACTGGTCTAGGAGAAAGACCCTTCTGAACTCAAAACCTGCGGAGGGTCTATGTATTCGGTCCTTCAAATAGAGTGAATAGTCCTGCACGAAACCTTCACCACTATAATCAAATCTTACGTGCTGTTGTCGGGGAACTGATCTGCTTGACCCTTATACGTCGAATTTGACGGGAGGGTCGTGTGTATATATATATATATATATATATATATTTACTTGACCCTCCCGTATATATATATATATATATATATATATATATATATATATATATATATATATATATATAACTCTGTGTGTATGTATATGGCGAGAGAGACTAAATAAAATTTCGCTGTACAGAATTCTCTAATAAAAAATTGTCTATTTTGTGATTCAGCTGAAATTGATTGGTCCGGGTGGGATCAGGATAAGTGCACCTAAATGTTTGCGAGAAAATGACACTTCAAAGTTCATATCATATCGTGAAATCGAAGTTGTCCTGAACGGCCACGAGTTTATATCCTTTCATACTAACGCGGGGTGGTGTACCCCAGGGCTCCATACTTGGTCCTACGCCGTTTTTAATCTTCATTAAAGAATTCCCGAAGACATCAACTCTCAACTTGGCATTTCCGCTAACGTCACTTCCATTTAGTAATGCCACGATAGTATGGCTGAACGGTCAGACAAATGTACAAAACGTCGTCAAGACAGTCGTTAAATGGGGCAAAATATGGCTTGACAATTTTAACGCTTACAAGAATAAACTTCTCTCGATGAATCATCTGAGGGACCCTTCTCTGCCTTTCATCAGGAGGGTTGATGCTATCCTCCAGCAAAAGGTCTCATTGGACCTTCTTGAGTTAACGATCTCAGTTAACATGAGGTGGAAAGACTTCATTGAATCCATTGCTAGATCAGCTACAAAGAAACAGAATCACCGCCATCACTTGACAAGACACCAGAAGTATTTTAAAAATGGTGATTTTTGTAGTGATGCTATAACATGCATATATTATAGTTTTTGAATAAATATAATTTGGTTTACTCTGTATTGAGCACACTTTTAAGAAGAGTCTTTTTGGTTATCGGAATTATATATATATATATATATATATATATATATATATATATGAAGAAATATATTTTTACGTTGTGCTATATTTATGGGATAAATGAGATAGAGTGTATGTAAATGTAAAACTGAACATTGAAGTCAACATCATCAGGTGGCCTTCAATGTTCACTTATATATATATATATATATATATATATATATATATATATATATATATATATATATATATATATATATATATATATGGCGAGAGAGACTAAATTACAATTCGCTGTCCAGAATTCGTTAATAAATAAAATAAATAAATCTCTATCTTTTGTGATTTGGCTGAAATTGATTAGTCAGAGTGGGATCATTTTAGGTATACCTCATTGTTAGCGAGAAAATGACACTTCAAATTTTGTTTGCTTGGCAAACGCCACCTAAGCTCACTCAAGTGTAAACCCTTAAAAGGCATAAAAATTGGCCGCCATGCAAGTTACACTATTTGATGGCCTTCTATGAAATAAAATAATTCCCGTCCATATGCGGCCTTCTGGTAAATTTCTGGATAGAACCCGGCGTAAACGGTGACAAGATGTCCAATATATTTTAAGTGTTACTTGGATGTAATTTTCAATATAGAGAGTTAGCCATGTGTAAAAGTAGGCGTTGCATTGTACTACGTATATTCCGTATCGTTTCAGAACTTTGGAGATCGTGTATCTCCACAATTTCCTGTGCAATTTAGATTTCAAGTACCTCTTTATCTCCGCTCTGTAATCTACTGGCATTGAGACGCTTGACGTATTCTTGTTTGTTTCTTTTTGTTAATTCTGTCTGAGTTAAATATTACAAACTCTTTTCCCCTTATTTCCATTAATTTCCAGTGTGTCCCACTCATTTAAGCGTAAATGACTATTTAGTACTCATATTCTTTTGAACTTCCCGATTGGCCAAATGCCCTGTCAATTGTATTCTTTGGAACCATTTGATAACCCTATTGTCACTTAGAGGCTCTTCTTCATGTGCAAGTAAATTGCCTGGCATTCACTGCGAGGATAGGTTTAATGCATCAGTTTCGAGGTCTGTTCTTTGCTATTTATTAATCTCTTAATACTTTGCTTATATTCTGGAAGGCATATTCTGTTCTTTGAAGTAACTTTCGGATTTTGTGTTACGTTTTGCATTTTCAGGATGGTAAAAAATTCTGTACTTGCTTTATTCTGATGTTTCCAATTCCTAGGACACGTCTACTCCAGTTGATGCCATTATTATAAGTATACAATTAATAATTAGTCCTTTCTTCTCGCTTCCCTTTGCTACAAAGACGAGGAATTTATGTAATTTTCTTACTGAATCCGCTGTTATTATTTAAGTTGTTAAGTTTGTATGCACAGATAATAAATCATGGGAAGTCATCTCTGTATATAATAATAATAATAATAAAAAAAAAAAAAAAAACTTGATAGAGAAAAACTGTCTTACAATAATATACATAAACCGCGGTGTACGTGTGTCCGTCCGTCTGTCCGTTTTACGATCTCGGCGAATCATAAACAACCTTATGTAACAGGTAGTAACCACTGTAGATACACGTGATTAAAAATTAAATAAATACCTCATTTAAAGTTAAATTTAAATATCGAACAGAGTGATTTTTTTTTAAATTTGTTATTAAAGGTTTAACTTTAATTTCGCTTTTCGTCATAGTTGGATTTATATCGTCTAATTAAACCGTAATTAAAATTTAACTGGGCATGGTATGTTGATAATATCTTCTTTATTTTCCTTTTCTAGCCTGTGTAGTATGATATATTTGAAATATTATCGAGTTTGGGTTCCCTAATGTCTTTTAAGAGTGATTCAAGTGAAGGAATCATAAGAATGGTGATTTAAAAAAAATAAAAAAATAATGCGCGAAAAATAAATGTAAACGAACTATGGAGATCAGTTGCGTATACGAAGAAAGATTATGCCGAATTAAGGAGTCCAGTAAAGATAAAATAATTTATTATTTCTAAATTCTTATAACTTTTACGCACATGGGGTGCTGAAGTTAAAAAAGCGCTCCGCAGGAGAAGGCGGCTTTTAGGCTAGTTGATTAGTATTTTTACGTTCTTGCTTCAATTCGTTATCTATCCGCTTATGATCGGATTATTGCCAGCAAATGTTATATTAGAGTTCTTTATGTTCCTTTGTTCTTTGTTTAATTTGTTAGCCCTTATGATACATCCTATTATTATATAGTTTACGGCCAATTTACGTTGAAATACCGATTTCAGTACGATCCCTGAAGCTAAGCGACTTCTTGTCTGGTCCGTATTTAGATGGGCGACCGCTTGAGAATACCATGCACAATAAACTTGGTTATATAAAGTACTTACGGCAATATCAGGTTGAAATACATATTCCCGTACGATCACTGAGGTTAAGCAACATCGAGACAAGTTAGTAAAAAGATGGGTGACCGCTTGAGAATACCAGGTGCTGTAAGCTTGGACGCGCGGGTGGTATAAACGGCTTACGACGACATCACTTTGAAAGACTTGTTTCTGTACCATCACCGAATTCCAGCAAAGTCTAGCTTGGTCAGTGATGGTGAACGGTTGGGAATACAAGGTGCTGTGCGCTTGGAAATGTGGATAGTTTAAAGGGCTACCCCCACAACACGTCGAAACACCTGTTGCTGTACGATCACAGAAGTTAAGTAACGTCGAGCCTGGTTAGTACCTTGATGGGTAACCGCTTCAAAATAGTAAGTGCTGTAAGCTTGGATGTACGGATGTGATAAAGTGCTTGCGGCCAAATCACGTCGAAAAACCTGTCCCAAGCAATCACTTAATTTATGTAACCTCGAGCCAAATCATTACTTGGATGGATGACCGCTTGGCAACACCAGGTACCGTAATTGTGGATGTGCGGGTGGTGTAATCTATAATGGTTTAAAATGTTAATCGGAGAATCGAGTTCCAATTCCCTTTGGTTTCGTTATATTCACTTACACGAATGGGAAAGTTATGAATCTACGTCTAGTCCCCCAGCTATGGGTTAATTCGTAAAAATTGTAAGAGCAAACCCTCAAAATAAATTCTTCCAATCTAAAAAAAAAAATATTGTCTGGTTTTATATAGCCTGCAAAATGTTGATAAGCCGTAAAAAAACGAATCAATCAATAAATCAAACCGATATTGCATCAGATAAACAATGGCTCATTCCTGTTTGATATTACCTCTAAAAGCTTGCCTTCCCCCTACATGCAAAATTGAAGAAATGATATATTAAATAAAGATTTTAAGGAATGAAAGAAAAAATAACTAAATGTAGGAAAGATTTGTGCTGGGTAAGCGTGCAGGTTTACTTAAAGAGTTAAAATTGTTATAGGGATTAGTATTTAAAACATATAACATATGTGGATTAAACTATGCAAGAAAGAGACCAGCTTACCGAGTTAGGAATGCAGGGGAAGTAACTCGAATAGAAACTGGACGAAGTAAAAAAATCACGAGTATAAAGAAGGGGAGTGTGAAAGGATTGTTTTTTTATTGGCTGATCAGACTGACGTATGTCAGTAAGAACAGTTGGACTCTAGCCATATCAGAATATATATATATATATATATATATATATATATATATATATATATATATATATGTGGGATGTGTGTGTAGCACGAGGCTTTCAAGGAGGTGGCTTGACTCGTCCGAAGTCAGGTCCGGATTGCTGTTTGAGCCGATATGATGCAAAATATTGGCGATGATGACAGTGCATCACTGTAGACACCCTTGATGCATCAAGAATGTAGTATGCAACTTGGTGAAAACATTCTCATGAGTTTTACGTCAATTTGAAATAGTTTCATTTGTACCTTCTGACACCTTTAAATCGTGACCTAACACCATATTCATGATTACTATTGTAACATCGTTGCACTAGTTAATTGCAAATATTTAAAGATACAATAAGCGAATTTCTTTGGGTAATTTCTATTCGTTGAACGCGCAAAGGGCTTATTCAAGAATTAATTTAAGAAAATCAAAATAGAAAAATCATGAACTTTAAATGGTATTTGCTACCTGCAAATTATTCTAATATGTGCCTGTTATGAATTAAATATTCCTGGCAATTAAAATAATTTTTGGACCATTGCTTATCAAGCACATTTGCAAAATTTATTAAAAAATGGTGTTTTTTTTGTTTTGTTTTTTTTTTGTGTTGCTCTCTCTGGTAGCCAAGATGAGTCAATTTCTGTCAGGTCTGCTAAGAGACGTTAGGTCTGGTGTTGGCATGATGGAAACCAAACCTCTTGTCTTGATTAGTCAATCCTGATCCCATTAATCGGTCAGATAGGGACAGTCTCATTTTAAATTCAACATCTGATTTTGTGGAAAGAGCCGCATAATTCACACCCACTTCTGACTCCGCCAAATACACAGAATCAACTTTTTGTGATGAGGATCAGATGTCTAGACTTGGGTTTTCTCAGATTGAGGACTTCAGGAACAGTCATAAGGTGGTAGATGTTTCTGTCAAAACGTCTAGAAATCACAGTGCCAGAAAAAGCAAAAAAATGAATATTACTCGCTCACTTTGTCTTATCAGACTTTGAATTATGAAAATATACATATCTATCTATCTATCTATATATATATATATATATATATATATATATATATATATATATATATATATATATATCATGTAACCTTAGAAAATTGATGAAGAAAGATACCAAAATTTTCTTTAAATACTTTTTATTTTCCCAAGTATATAAATATAAACATAAATAAAAATAAATACAAATACCTAATAACTAATAACAAATAAAAATGAATAACTAATAACAAATAAAAAATGATTAATAAGAAATAAACAATGGTTAACTAATAACAAATAAAATAAATGAATAAACAAATAAATAAATAATAACGAATAAATGAATAACTAATAACAAATAAAAATGAATACAAATAAATCTAAACATATCAAATTACTATATCGTAATCAAATGCATTCTAACAATCAGCAGAATGAAGAAAATTGTAAAAAAAATCTCATAAACACTAATATACCCCCTACTGTTCCAAGTAAAAAAATAAAATTAACTACATACTATACTGAAATGAATAAAACCAACTTGACCAAAATAATTCAACTAGCATCTTAGAAAAAGGCCAACACTGTATATCATTTTCAAGGTCATTGAGGAGACTGTAAAATTGTGAATACGTACGTTGGCTTTACTATAACAATGCTAACATGTTTACATTTCATTTGGCCGAGTATAGTTCAATATCACAGCATTTAAAGGAACACATATGCCTACATTCAGAGATATTAGTTGGAAATTCATCAATATTACTGTTGCACCGGCCTCTAACACAAGGGAATTACACCGGTTCTCACTATATATATAGTGCCTGTAATACCTACCCGGTGTAAGCAGCGACAGTACTACAACTGCCTAGCTGAGTAGTACCCGTTTCCTACCTTTGTATCTGTGATGTTAAATACACTTGTTCTTCAACTTCGACTTGATTTTCTTATTTTTACTATTGTGCCACGACACAACAATTACATAAAAACAATAAGCAATAATTAAAATCCTAGTAGCTTTTTATATAAGAGAATTAAAGCTCCAAATAAATAATGTCAATAGTGAGAATAGTAACAATTTTCTTAAATGTTTAAATGTTTCTAACAAAAAAATCATATATATATATATTAAGAAATGGACAAGGTCCGACAATTTATTTATTAAAGACATTTTTTATGTTTAACGTTGTTATTTATAGATACAAAATTATTCAAGCAAATGCTCTGTTTATGATAAACAGTATTAAATAACATTTACCGGCCTGAATGTCCGAGAAATTTTCATAGAAAATCCTGTCAAAAGAACGAATATTTTCTGAAAATTTCTCCGGACAATCATGTTCTCATAAATAAATTTGCTTAAATACTTGTATCTATAAATAAAACGTTTTAAATATATATATATATATATATATATATATATATATATATATATATATATATATATATATATTTGTTTTTCATTTTAACCATATATATATATATATATATATATATATATATATATATATATATATATATATATATAATTTGGCTAAAATGAAAAAAATACTTCCCTTATACTGGGAATAAAACACGTGAATATTGAAATCTAAAACTCTGCATAAACATAAAACGGGGAGTTGAAATGTCATATTACAGAAACACATGCACACACTCAAAGACAAATTAAACCCCTGGATTTTCTAAGATTACCAAGAAATTGATCCTTGAACATGAAAGGATCACACAGAAAATAAATCCACAAGATATATTTAAATTATTTAACGAAACCATTTTGAATAAAAATATGCAGCCTATATATATATATATATATATATATATATATATATCCTATGATGACATCCGGGTTGGAATGTCATCATGTTTGCCTTATTAGAAGCAAGTCTTCTGTAATCTTATCAGTCTGGTTGGGGCGATACCAGCCTATGCCCGCTTTAGAAATTACCTGACAAATGACACCAAAGGTCGACCCATGTGAGTGAAATACGATAGATGGTATTGTTCGAAAGCTGTCAATAATTGTGGCAGAGCGTTTGAGCCTACTGGGCTTGTTCAAGTTGCTTATCATGAAAAAAAAATGTGTGCTGTCTCCAAATAACTGTAACGAAGGTCCCCTCGTTAATGTAGGTGATGAACGAAAAGAAATGGGCTTGGCCATTTACCTTGTGACAGGGTTTGTCGAATCAACCTAGCAGACGTGTGTGCGTTGAAAACGAGAGAAACCTGCTATTATCTGTGGATGCACTACTATTTACGACATAGACCCACATAAAACTACACACACACACACACATATATATATATATATATATATATATATATATATCCAAATGTAACATATATATATATATATATATATATATATATATATGAAAGAAAAATATATACGGAAAAAACAAACAAGAATCATATATACAATTATGTTGTTATATAATGTTATAATTTATGAATATGTCTTGAAGATGGTTTATTAGACCGAAACGTCCGACGTTGACATATTAACATTAAAACAGTGTAATTGTATATAAGGATTTTTGTTTTTTTCCGTATATATTTCATACTGTCGGATTTATATCCATATATTTGCTTATATATATATATATATATATATATATATATATATATATATATATATATATATATATATATATATATATATAATATATATATATATATATATATATATATATATATATATATATATATATATATATGAATGTAAAAGAACGAAAAGAATATAATATAAATATATATGTATAATGTAATACACACACAAATATATATATATATATATATATATATATATATATATATATATATATATATAAATGTAAAAGAACGAAAAAATATTAATTTAAACCGTTATAAAATAAGTTGAAATGGGCTCAATACAAGAGTAGGGTAATAACTATTTATTATAAACTCTTACATTGGAACATACAAGTTACCGCGACAAATATGCATATTTTTTCGACGTCCAAAAACGTCTCATCAGGCGGCTAGCAATAGCGGTAATAAAATCGTTCATTACCACCATTGATGATATGTTTTGGGACATGGAAACAAATATGAGTTTTTGTTGCGGTAACTTATCTTAGTTTTATCTATCTTTCTCTCTCTCTCTCTCTCTCTCTCTATATATATATATATATATATATATATATATATATAAG